GGGCTGAATTGCACAAAACGCATGATCGCACCGGCTAGTCTGGTGCGCGTTGCCATTTATTTTTGTCTGTTTAGGTTGGTTGCGCGAAGCGCGTTGCGTGCGGAACCACTAATGCACCTCTATCGGTATACGGCTGCTGCGTTCTTACCGTTCAATTTGAGTACCAATTTGTTTGTGGATCAATGCTCGCAGATGGTCATACTCGACAACGAAGTATGGTACACTTTTCATGCCGAATAAACATAGGTGCCGCTGTGCGGAATAGTTGTCTTGCTTAGTAGAACGTTGCTGTGACATATGATCCTTGATATTTTTTAGTCCGACAAATGTGAAAAACTAGTAAGCATTAAAGCGTGCAGCAACGACATACCGAATAGAAAAAGTGGAAGGAAGTGAAAGAGGCACTTTGCTTCTAGTTGGTCCCAAATTTATCTATCTGTTTAAAAAACGTACCGGAAGTGTAGTCGAAGTGGAGCAGATTTGGCCAGGGATGCGAAACTCGAAGTTAAGGTGGAAGGTTCCAGAATTTGGATTTCAAAATGTTGCACTGCGCAATGTGACGAACGGGTTAGGGCAAAAAAGGGCACCATCCCAGTCAGAGAGAGCTCGAAATTGGTAGCTCGAAACTAGCGTCCTGAATCGGTGGGAGAAACCGCAAGGATCGTCTGGCTAGGAATACTGCTTGTTTTTGGATAGAAAAGAGCTGAAGTTGGAAGATAAACTGTGATTGTACTGAATTTCATCCTGCTTCCTTCAGTACGTCACCTGTTGGGAAGGAATTTAAGCAGTCATGCCAGTGGTGGTTTGATCGAGTTCCAGATGAAATCGATGCTTCATGACTGCGAACTGTTTTATCGAATACACAACGATTTCCTGAAAGGCTCCTATAAAATCAAGGAAACTGAGCTGCTTAAAATCACATCAAGTAGTCGGGAGGTGCACTTCATCCGCTCGCCGTTGTTGCTTTTTCCGAAATGGAGAAGACTGGTGGCGCTTGCACGTAAAGCATCCGAAAATGCTGTTAGGTGAGCGTGAATTCAGTTAAACACTTTGCGTATTTCATAAGCTTTATCTTGCTT